GCTTAAATCATTTTCTACAAAATATCAAGTCGATTAGATAATTTCAAGGATGATGACACTGACAAAGCATCCAACTAAGCATCCATCTCAGCAAAAAATACTCCCGGTCAGATGCAGTGCAAGGCGTGAAGAGCGGAAGGTTAAGTTTTAACGGATTGATGACATCATATTACTCAGAGGGGCTGATTTGCCACTAAAGACGAGTTGAGGGGTTCTTTTAAGCGTGAACTGACTTGAGGGGTTGATCTGCCACTTCATGACAAATTGAGGGGCTATTCTGCATGTTTTGCCTATCCGAAACCCAGCAAGCAAGCCTTATTGCTCTCAGTAACGAAAAGGGAGAAGTGCTGTCATTTTCGCTCCAGAGTGTTCAGGTCCGTAGAAGACATGCTTTTTTGTCTTTCTAAAACCCTAGGCGTTTAATAATCCTTTGAATTTCCATCACCTTTCTGGGTCCCTCGTCCTCACTCATGATTCAGATCAGTAGTACAACAACAGCCGCAGAATTTTCCTTATTTTGCATGAGGTTCTTCCATTAGCCCTCTTTTTGTTTAACTTGATAGTGTAATCTTCTTGTTGTGGGTAATAAAAGGACCATAGTTTCCTACATTTTTGAAATTATCCATCAGAGTTTAATAGCCTTTTTATTGAATTGTTATGGGTTTCTTTTGGAGGGAATTATTTGATTCTTTTTATGAATGTTATGCCCTAATATTTTATTTGGGTTACTAAATCTGATGAACAAGATGTTGAAGAGAAATGGTTCTTGAGATAAAATATAATTAACAAAGCAAAAATTAATTAGCATGTTCGACCGTGCTGATTTTGCTCAATTTACTATTAGACTTGGCTGACTTGAACATGGGTATTATTACATTCATAGGTTTTTGTGTTTTTTTTTAGAAAAAAATTATTAGGATTAAGAAATTGCACCTGACTAGAATTTTGCGAGTTTTGAGGCCTTTTAGACCTGGGTTTTGCTATGTATGACCAAATTTGGAGAAAGATGAATTTGGATTTGGTATGGAAGGGTTGAATGCTGAACATTTGATGTAGAGTTGTGGGATTGTTTATAGACTTTGGATGAATTGCTTTTGTTATTGTGCACAAGACCATGTGATGTCTAATGATTGTAATAGTGCTTTTATACGACATGCTTTGGGAAGGGGTTCCATTGATCTCTTTTAAGGCGTTGTTGGGATGTCATTTGTTTTGCCATAATATGGACTCTTTGGCTTGCAAGAAATGATAATCATTTTAGGAGCAAACCTGTCAAAGAGGGGAAATTATTTTAGTTGGTAAAATTGCAAGCTTTTTCATTGGCTTAAATGGAGGTGTAACTTGGTTTCATTCTCATTTGTGCATTGGAGTGCTGATCCAAAGGGTTGTTCCAGTGCTCTGTTGGTGAGATTGGGTAGTTCAAATCATAATGGTGTTGCTTCATTTTTCTGTTTTGTATTGCATTTCATCACTGTTTTTGATGAATTTTGTGTATTTGGCTGGTGTGTGTTTTATCAATAAGGGTTTGAGTACCTATTGAACTTAGTTCAATAAAATTCTTCTTTTGAAAAAAAAAAAAAAACGAAGGCACACGCATGCACCTTTTCCATGCCTTTTGCAATCAAGTGGATGTGAAATAAGGAAATTACAATAAAATTCAAAAGATTGCTGTGAGTTAGAATTTGGATTGACTTAACATACTATTGTTTTACTTTTGGATGTTATTAGATTGAGTTAGAATTTAGGATGTTTCCGTTGATTAGTATTTCAGTCCCCTTGTTTGATCTTGTGTCTGTGAGAAGTTTAGGGTACCAATGCTCTGATTAGCAGGGCTTAGATGTATTGGAAGTATCATTTGCACTCCTTTCTTTTGATTAACATAAAAACCTCTGTTTGGTTGATTAAAAAAAGTCAATGTACATTTTTATTGTAACCAATGAAAGGGCAAAAAAAGAAGGACGAAGATTAAAAGGAAATTCTAATGACTATCTGTTTGTGTTGCAGAAGGCCTATGTTTCAGAACTGCTTCCCAGAAACTGGAATACACTTAACTATGTAACCAATCGGCCACGACAGAGCTGCGATACCAATGCAAGCACCCCATTGCATCCAATCCAACCTCTCAGTATTAGCAAACCTCCTTAGAAACTCCACCATTATCACTTGAAGAACTACTGTAATTCCAGTGATTGCCAAAAACAACTTGTTTTTGTGTATCCCTTCAAATATGTTTCTCTTCTCTAGCTTTCTTGCATTAAATTCATTGAAGACTTGACAGAGGACAAAAGTATTGAATATTAGGGTGTTTTTGACCTGTTCTGTCACGCCAAAAATGGATGTTCCCTTGAATATTGTAGAATCAGTAAGATAGCTACCTGATAGAGGGAATGAGCAATGAGGTTCCTCCGCATTACATTGGTTATAAGGGGCTCAACACGGCCTACAGGTGGCTTTTTCATGAGATCGTTGGTAGGTTGGTCAGTGGCCAAGGCTAGTGCCCCCAAGGTGTCCATTATGAGGTTCACCCACAATAGCTGGACTGCAGTTAGAGGAACTTTACCAGAAGAAACAGCTGCAATGAAGTTAATGACCAAGGCAGCAATATTCACTGTAAGTTGAAATTGAATAAACTTTTGGATATTGGTGTAGACACACCTTCCCCATCTCAAAACAGTCACCACAGAGGTGAAGTTGTCATCCAAAATGACGATGTCTGAGCTATCTTTGGCGACTTCGGTGCCTTGAATTCCCATGGAAAGCCCAATATCTGCTTCTTTTAGTGCTGGAGCATCGTTTGTACCATCTCCTGTGACTGCTACCACATGCCCATTCTGCTTCAAGCATTGTACCATTAGAAGCTTGTCAAAGGGGGATGATCGAGCCATTACTCTGATATTTTCAATCTTTTGCATTCTTTCTTCAGGTGAGTAATTTCTAAACTGCACACCTTCCACTACAGCTTCATTTGTTAAATCCTCATCAAGACTGAGAATACCACATTCAACAGCTATAGCTCTTGCTGTGTGCAGGTTGTCTCCTGTGATCATTTTGATATTGACACCTGCTTTTATGCAAGATTCTACTGCCTCTCTGACACCTGGCCGACATGGGTCCTTCAAACCAACAAGTCCCAGCAAGGTGAGTCCTGTTTCTTCAAGCTTCAAATGAATCTGTTCATTTTCTTCTCTTACTTTTGCATAAGCAAATCCAACACAACGCAAGCTTTTAGCTGCCATTTGTTCAATTATGGCTCCAATCATCATTCTTTCTTCATCATTCATGTCCTTCACTGTCCCAGTTTTGTCATAGTAGGTTGAACACATGGCTAGTATGATTTCAGCTGCCCCTTTCCAGTGAATTGCAAGTGCCCTCTGTTTGCTTCTCCTTATCAGAACCCCGCTCTTCTTTTTCTCTGAATTGAAGGCTTCGACATGAATTATTTCACAACTCAGTTTTGGTTCATTAACGTTCATACCCAAATTGGTCACAGCCCAAGAGAGTATTGCTTTCTCGGTTGGACTTCCAGAGATTTCTGGAACTGAAGTAGAATCTGGTTTGTAAACGGTACCACTGCTGTTTAAACCAACCCCTTCATTAATTAATTGAAAGAGATTAGATGATATTTCATGGGATAGAGAATTGTTGATCATTTCTTTTCCAACCCAAAACTCTATAACCTTCATCTCATTTAAAGTAAGAGTGCCTGTTTTGTCAGTGCAGATTGTGGTGGCTGAACCCATGGTTTCACATGCTGACAGTTTCCGCACCATGGCATTATCCTTCATCATACGCTTCATGGAATAGGCCAGAGTTAAAGTGACAGCCAAAGGTAACCCTTCTGGAATTGCCACTACCACAATGGTAACTGCAGCAGCTATAATTCCCAGGACTGAATTCATCACAGCATCAAGCTTGGTGTTACTCCCATTGTATTCAATTTTTCCGGTTGCATCTTTAGTGTGTCCGGTGAAGTAACGAACTAGCAAAATCAAGAGAACAACTACTGCCACAGACAACCCAATCCTTCCAACATAGGAAGTCAGCTTGTTGAGACGGGCTTGAAGTGGTGTTTGCTCATCCAAGTCACGCTGTATGCAGCTCATCATCTCCCCCCATGCTGTATTCATACCAACAGAGGTGACGAGCATGTATCCATAACTATCGGTGACCTTTGTGCCAGCAAGCAAGAAGGGATTTTTTCTCTCACTAACCTCAACATGATCACTTTCTCCTGTCATGCTTGACTCATCAATCTTCACGGAATGACCGGCAACAAACAACCCATCTGCAGGAATCTGATCACCGATCTTCAAAGACACAATGTCACCCACCACAATGTCGAAGATCGATATAGGTTGGTGCCTTCCACCTCTTACGACTTGCACTCGAATATCACTGCTCTCTTCAGAAAGCTTCTCAAACTGTCTGTTTTGGTTGTAGTTACTGACAGCAGAGACAACCACCACCAAAACCACTGCGAGACTGATGCTTCCACCATCATACCACCCTTCTTTGGGGCCATGCTGTTTGATGCCAAAGGCCAAGGCGAGGATGGCACAGACTAGAAGGATTATTATGGTGGTATCTTTAAACGCTTCAAGAACAAAGCTAAGAAAGCTTTTTGCAGGTTGTTTCTGGTACTTATTAGCTCCAAAAACTTCAGTTCTGTGCATAAGCTCAGCCCCACTACCTGCAGCAATAATTTATTATCCAAAATTTTTAGTTTGGTGCATTATGAAAGCATTCTACACGTGAAGTATAGATAAAGTCAGGCCAAATATTTTTTGGTGAAATGTGAATTTATTTCTAAATCA